GGCTATGTCATTTTATCTTCCTACTAGAAATAAGTGAGTGATCCACTTTCTCTGCATCCTTACCAGCATTTCATGTTACCATTATTTTTCATTTTAGCTATTCTGATGTACCCTGCACCTTCATGTGTTTGTTTGAAATGTTTGCTATCACTGTTTTGTAAAAATCTGAATGCAGCTTCCAGCTTACCAAAAGTGATTTAGGGGTGTCAGGATATAGGTCGTACAAAAGCTGAATGCAAGAACCTCCTATCATGGCATCAGAGTAGAGACATATTATCTGTGTTTAATTAAAATTGATTTTTGTGCCTGGCCAGAACGTATTTTAAAAAATGGAAAGAGTGATTCATTTCCATCTGTTCAGTGATATAGGCCCTAGAATTAGCATGAGATGGGAGCACTAAATGTATTGGCCTCTCAGCTTCAGTTTTGCGTTCTGGGCTGAGTTTAAGCCTAGTGTTTTGAGACAGCATGGTTCTTGATAGCCCGACAGCTGCTTAATCTGGTGCTTGATTGAGGAAAGAATCTCTTCCTCCCCGGTTGAAAACTTGACGTTGTTGGGGTTAATGAAAAAGTATCTCAAACGTGGCACCTTCCTACAGAAAACTAAAGGATTAAGAATATTTCAGAATTAGCTTTGTATTTACTCAATCCCCAAATAAGATATGACTATATTGTATAATCAAAATAGCATTTTCTGGGGATGCTCTTCAGTAGATATTTTGAGCAAATGCTTAAGGGAGAGATTTGTGACGGAGAAGAAAAATTTTGTTTCTTGCTAAGACTTAGCTGGTAACTTGGGGCCAGATACATAATATTTCTATTTCAGTATCTTTCGCTGTGGAAGAGCAGTGACCTGGATGATGGGTGTCTAAAGTCTCTTCATGCTCTAACTTGTAAAGTAGAGCTGTGCTGGAAGCTAGATGAAAGGAAGGCTGGATGGTTATTTAGAACAGAAACTGAAAGTTTGTTTTCCTGCCATTGATTTCTGAAGGACTAAAGTTAATTTCCATAGTATGACAGAGAACCTGGTTTGAGCCAAGGATGGTTGTATCACACAATGCTGCTTTATTTTTCTACTTCTGATGGTGTTAGAGAATGAACCTACACCACAAAGAGTCTGGGGGCCTAGCCCAAAGCCTTGAAAGCTGAAATTTTTTTGAAATTAAATGTTTTATCTTTTAAATTCTTGGAAATTTTGCCTTCTCTGTAATATATGTTTTTCATGAAAATGTTATTGAGTAAAATGAACTTTAGGAAGATGTCCTATGTTTGGTTTGCATACCCTTTGGCATTCCACCATATAGGAAATGGAGGTGGGAGGGGTAATACAAGGAGCCAGTAAAGAAGTAGGCTCAAGTATCTAATGTTCCAGACTTCATGATTTGAGCTAAAATAAGTATCTTTGTTCTCAGGCGTATCTGTTTGATAAGAAAGAGAGCCTGCTTGCAGTAGGTGTATCAGAGCACCTGGGTAGTATAATGGAAAATATTCTTGTTTTAGAATCAGATCTGAGTTTGAATCCCACCTCTGGCATTTTCTGGTTTGTGATCCTCTTTCATTGAGTATAAAGCAGGGGTAATAATGCTTGTCTTGGAGAGTGATTTTGGGGTTTATTGCACTGCCCTGTGTTTTGCCTTGGCATCATAGGCACTCAGGTGCTACCTATTATATCCTTGATTACTAGTGAATTGTTACACGCTCTTAATTTTTGCATTTATGGGAGCACTAGGTAAGTTCTAGTAGCCACTTCAGAATATTTACTTTGTCTTATAGGTCTTTGTACAAAAATCATGTTTATGAAACTTGAACATCAGTTTTGATATCTTGATCATACATATATACATCATAATGCTTTTGCAGATAAAACACATAAATCAGAATTAACCAAAATGTTGATAATAAAATATTTAGATTATTCTTGGTAATAATGTCTTTACAGTGGTTGGTATATCAGACTATGGATGTTTTGTAGCATCAAAGCAATACTAAACAATAGTCCATAGTCTCATGGTCAGTATTTATGATAATTGCATTCATAAAACTTCTTATATTTTTTCTGGCAGTGGCTAAGCCTCTCCTGAGCTATTGCTTCATTCTTAATCCATGTGAGCAATGGAGAGCCTTTGAATGAAGGCTCTGAATGACTCACTATCACTGCTTCCTTCTTTCTCACTGTTATCCTCAAAGCACAAAGAAATTAGAAATAATCTTATATGCAAACAATACTGAAACCTGTTTAACTTGTTCTTATTCTTTTCTCCCTTGCTACTGATATCAAGGAGTTTAAATTTAGATGAAGATTTTGTTCATTAAAATTGGGAGAATATACTAAGCAAATTAACTTTTTTTTTTTTTTGCTTAGAAAACTGGAACTCTTAAAGTAGTATATAATTGAAAACTTTTCATTTTCACTTAACATTTTTGTAGAGACCATTAAGTGAAATTTCTGGTGAAAGTTTTTTTTCAGGGTTTCTTAAGCCCTAACTTAAATCAAATAATGAACAAAAACTATCAATAAGAATAATATTATAGATGAAATTTTATGAACAAGTCATTATTTGCAACATTTCACAAATGAAATTAAGAATGCAAAAATAATGAACATTAGCCTCACTTAGACGAATAATCTTAAACTGTTGTTCATTCCTTTTGAACCAGATTTCCAAAACATTATATTAACATATACTAGAAATTAATGTTATTGTGTTACTTTAATGAACTTTAATCTTAAGACATATATTAGCACGTTTTTAAATGGGTACTTTTGCATTTAGGAATGTTTCCTATTTTTCTTCTGATATCTAAAATTAAGAATGGGGGAAAGAGAGGGCATAGTTCAAGTGGTAGAGTGCATGCGTAGTATGCAAGAGGTCCTGGATTCAATCCCCAGTACCTCTAATTACCTACCCCCCCAAAAGTAAATAAAATTAAGTACAGAGCCTCCTTGACTTATGATGGGATTATGTCCTGATAAGCCTGTCATAAATTATAAATATCATAAGTCGAAAATGCATTTAATACACCTGACCTACCGAACGAACATCATAACTTAGTCTAGCCTACCTTAAATGTGCTTAGAACACTTCCATTAGCCTATAGCGAGGCAAAATCAGTTGAATATCTCGTGTAATTTATTGAATACTGTACCGAAAGTGAAAAACACAATGGTTGTATGGGTACAGAATGGTTGTGAATGTATTATTTACTGTCATGATTGTGTAGCTCACTGGGAGCTGTGGCAGGATCATATTGAATATTGTTAGCCTGGGAAAAGATCACAATTCAAAATTCAAAGTGCAGTTTCTGTTGAATGAGTATTGCTTTCACACCATTGTAAAGTTGAAAAAAATCTCAAATCAGGCCATCATAATTTGGGGACTGTGTCTAAGTTTCCCATTATGGAGAAAAGAATTCACATCAGAATACAAATTTCCATACATGTTTGAAGCAGTTTAGCTTTAATTTGCATAATTTGAAAAACAGCCTTGTTTATGATTACCCTTATAGAGACTCAATAGCCAATTCTACTAGATTTGTACTTTAACATTAAATTTTTAAGAAATCTTTATGTAGGCAGTGTGAAATAGTGGAAAGAGTATGAAACCCAAATTCAGAAGATTTAGGTTCAAGTTCTGCTTCTTTATAATTTGACCTTTGGCAAAGATTTAAATATTCTGAACTTTTCCTTGTCACTGCATAGCAATGACACCTGCTTTGCCTGTCTCACATGTTTACTATGTAAAAAAGGAGCATTTAAATACTAAGGCGAAATTGATCTGTACATGAATGAAGTTGATCTAAACAAATAATGTTGTCTGCCTCCATCAAAAGTTAGGTTTAAGCCATAGTGATCATCTTCACCCAACACAGCAGCAGGACAAGACTGAATACAAAGGAAAAACCCTGACTCAGGAAGGCTCTACCTTTTTTGGAAAAAGGTGACTCATGAACAGTTAGCTGTGCCGCATGAGCAATAAAATAAAAGGCAAACACACAGAGAACTGAATACAGCTCTAGACTATTAGGGCTAGAAACTATCTGGGATTTTCTAGCCAAGTCCTCTAATTTTATAGGGGAAGAAACCAAGACAGGGTTATCCAGTAAGTTTTGTAGTGGCAAACAAACTAAGATGCGTTTCTCAGGAGACGCAAGTTTTGAAATTAGTTGTATAAGGTACTGACTTAGAATGTAGCTTCAGGCACCATAACCTTTCAGCCTGTTTCTTCATTTGAAAATTGGGGCTACTAATAACCGCATTTGTTGTGTTGCTGTGGTGAAGGAAATGACATGTAAAAGACTTAGCACATTTATGGCACATGGTATTCAATTATAAATAGTGCCTCTATTATTACTACTGTTTTTAGCTGTTAGGCAGAATCTTCCAGAACATTACTCACTCCCTTTGCTTAATTTGTTCAAAATAATGGTTAATGGCCCAGCTGTCTTTCACTGAAACAACTCAAAGGGTACTCTTCACGTGTACCTTTCGTGCATCTGCAAGTATGAGAAAACTGCTTAGTATTACAGTACTGAAAAGAGAGGGTATTCTTAAACAGATTAAAAGCCAAGTTTAAAAACAAAAGGCAGGAAATCTAATGCAAATGATCATGTTTATTGTCTTCGTTGTAATTTAGTAACTGAAATGGCTTAGGTGCTTAAGAAGTATGACCCAAAAGAGAAAGTCATATCCCATTAAGCAGATTCCTTGAATAAAATGACACAGTAGACTTTTATTTCATTCAACCCACTAAGCCCTTTTCTTTTCCCTTTTTAAATATCACTGTCTGTTCTGGGTCTATGTGATGTGTGCTTAACAGAGCCAGGACTGTCCTGTTTATCTGCCATGCCTGGCCTCGTGCCTTGAACGTGTCAGTTACCTCTGTGTTGATTTTTTTTCTTTTAACAGATTTTAGTTTTGGAAAAGTTGTATACAGATTTAGTATAAATGAAGATATGTCATTTCAAAAGTTAATTATAGATTTAAAACATTTTAATTTCAGATTTCCTTTTTTTCTGGGGAACTGTATTTTTGATAACAACAACTTTAGTTGCTCTTCTGAAAAAAGAAAACAAAGAAGTATCAGTAGGAAAAGAAGAAACCCAAGGGATCACAGATACTTACAAGCTGCTTTTTACAATTATAAAAATGCCCGCAGTTCTGACATTTTGCCTTCTGATTCTTACTGCAAAGGTAAGAGATTTATAAAGCAAATTTCCCATTCTGTTGCAGTGACCAATATCATGGAATACCTCCCTTGCCTTTACATAAGTCCCTTTCCACTAATACTAGAATTTAACAATTAAACCTGATATTTTCTGTTTATTAATTGTATTTTAAAAGATGTGGTGACACCAAATCAAATATAATTTCTTAAGGCACTGGGGATTGAACCCAGGACCTTGTGCATGCCAAGCACACACTCTGAGCTATACCGTCCACCCCCAAATATAATTTTAGTGTAAGCTACAAGATTTAGGATCCTGGAAAAAATTGTCAATTTGAAATACTTCTAATAAATGTGAGGTTTTTAATGAATGGTATTAATGTTTGGAATGGAAATGAATGCCTTGGAGGATTAATAGCTCTGTTACCAGGGGTTAAAGGAGGGTGGGAAGGGATAAATTGGGAATTCGAAAATTGTACCCCTTGGGGTGTGATGAAAATAGTTAGCTATCTTGATTGTGGTAGTGGTTTCATTGCTGTATACATCTATCAAAATTCATCAAAGTGTACATCTGAATTATATGTAGTTTACTGTTCAGGAACCATACCACAATAAAGATGTGAAAAAAAATAGCTCTCTACTGTTAGAATAAGTACATACTTAATGTCATAGGTAGTAAATTATTTACTTATAATGATTAACAAAGACATGAAAATGTATAGGTATTAGAAGTCTATTTAAAAATCAGTTGAATTATTTTTAAAATATTAGAAGGGAATTTGCTATCAAATAAATGGGAATTTTGGTGACTTTTTAAGAATTCTGTAAGTTTTCTGTATTAAGATGTCCTAATTTTATAGTTCTAAACATTTTAAAGAGATTATGCTAGAAGAAAGGTAAGTGTATATTGTTATAGTGACCTGTTGCTAGTGTTGGAATTAATATTTCTGGAATCTAAAATCAGTTACAGGATTCTCATATTATATATTTAAACCTATCTACATAAATACTTTTACAACTATCTTTGGATAACCCTGAAGTAAAAATTGTAGCCTCATTGTTTTGAAATAGTTTTTCCTCCTCTCTAATGATAAGGAGGGTTAAATTTTAAGGAAATGTTAGGAAGGCTTAAACTTACCGTTCAATTTTAGGAAATGCTAAAAGTTTCAAGGGAGAGAATAGCATGATCTGATTACATCCAGTAGGGATAACCATTGTTAACATTTTTGGTATATTTCTCTCCAGCCTTCTTTTTCCCCCATGTACATATGTGTGTGCATGTAGGTGTGGATATATATACTTTACATGCATAAATATAATTCATCTATTATAATCAATAATAATGTATATTTATATACATGCAAATACTTTAAAAGTGAAATTGGCTCATACTGTATACTTTTTTATCTTGTTATTGTCTTCTTATTCTATATTCATTAAATAATATTTGAAAACATGTTTTTAATAGCTATGTAATTGTCACAGTCTGAATTTGTCATAATTTACTTAATCATTTTTCTATTGTATATTTAATTTGCATTTGTTTTTAATATAAAAACATGCTAGTGAATATTTTTGTGTATAACTCTTTCCTTGATGTTCTGAATATTTTCTTCTAATAGATTTTTTAAATTAGTTTAATTTTTAACATTTGTTTGGGGCAAGGTAATGAGGTTAATTAATTAATTTTTTAATGAAAGTGCTAAGGATTGAACCCAGGACCCTATGCATACTAAAGCATGCACTTTACCACTTGAGCTGTATCCTCCCCTCTTCCTTCTAATAGCTTCTTAAGTGGGTTAGTGAATATGATTGTTAAAGTATTTTTTAAAAGATTTTATAATTTATATTGTCGCCAGCAATATATAAGTAGTTGCTTCAATATCAGAATCCCATGTTCCCCCTTTAAATGTCATCAAAAGTAACATCTCTCCTAACTTTTAATACCATAAATTAGTTTTCCTTGCTTTTGAGTTTTATGTACATGGAATATCCAGTATGTATTCTTACGTCTGGCCCTTGCATTCTTTCACTCAACGTCATATTTGTATAATTTATCTGTATTGTTATTTATAGCAATAATTTGTTCATCTCATTGCTTAATATATTCCATTGATGAATATGCCACAATTTATCCATTCTATCAACAGATGTTTAGGTTGTTTCTACTTTTGGACTATTAAGAACAGTGCTTCTATGAACATTCGTGTGCATTACTTTTGGTGAACATAGGTGTGCATTTCTGATGGATAAATACCTAGGAATAGAATTGCTAGGCCATAAGAAATGCATAGTATATGCTGCCAAACAGTTTTCCAAAGTGGTTGTTTCCAAATTAATTTATTTCAAACACATAACTTATGGTTATCAGGGGAGAAAGTGATGGGGAGGGATAAATTGGGAATTCGAATTTGCAGATACAAACTACTATATATAAAATAGATAAACAACAAGGGAGAGGGTATATAGTTCAAGTGGTAGAGCACATGTTTAGCATGCACGAGGTCCTGGGTTCAATCCACAGTACCTCCATTTAAATCAATAAATCAGTAAATCTAATTACCTCCCCCATCAAAAACAAAACAAAATAAAAATTTTTAAAAATTGATAAACAACAAGATCCTACTGTATAGTACAGGAAACTATGTTCAATACCTTGTAATAGCCTATAATGAAGAAGAATATGACAAGGAATATATATGTACAACTGAATCACTATGCTGTGCACCAGAAATTGATACAACACTGTAAATTAACTATACTTCAATTAAAAAATATATGTATGTATATATAAAGTGGTTGTTCCAGTTTTCTCTACCACCAGCATTGTTAAGAGAGTTCCAATTACTACACAGTCTTGAAAACACATATACTGTCTTTTCAATTTTAGCCTTTCTGGTCGGTGTGTAGTGGCATCTCATGGCTATAATTTGCATTTCCCTGATGACTAAAGAAGTTGAACATCTTTTCATATGGTTATTGGCCACTCAAATATCCAGGATTGCTCTTGCTTTAAATTTGTAGAATTTTGATTTTTTTATGTATCCTAGATATGAGTTTTCTTGTTAGATATGTGTATTACAGATGTCTCCGATACCACTTTCAAGGCAGAGTAAATGTTGCAGGTCACTTTGTAGATCTAATTTCTACAAAGAGAATGGGTGAAATATAAGTGAAATTCTTTTCTGAACTTAAGTGAAATATCTTTGACCTTTAATTCTTTTTATGTGAAATTTGCTCTTTGGCTCCATTCTAAGAAGTTAAAAGTATTTAATGTATTTATCATTCCTTTTTTTAAAAAAATTACTTGTATAATTTCATACTTAATGAGAATTTACTTGTATAGTTGAAAAAATTTCCATACATGTTTATCCAAATTCTCTAATTGTTAACATTTAGCTTCATTTCCTTTATTCTGTAAATTTGTGCTGTATTGCTTAGATCTTATGAAGTATTTGAGAGCAGTTTGTGCAGATATCATGCCCCTTTACCCATAAATACCTTAAGTATGTATCTCCTACGAACACAGTCTTTCTCTTACAAAGCCACAACTTAATCAAAAATCAGGAAATTTTAAGTTGATATAATACTACTTTCTAATCATAGTCCATATCCAAATTTCATCAGTTGTCCCCGAAGCAGCCTTTATAACTATTTTTTCTTGGTCAGGGATCCAATTCAATATCACATTATATTTTAGTTGGTATGAGCTTTTCTTTGTCCTTCATAACCTGGACATTTTAAGAGAATACAGGCCAATTATTCTATAGAATGGGCTTCTATTTATGTTTGTCTAATGTTTCCTCATGTTTAGGTTCAGGCTGTGCATATATGTCAGGAATATGACAAATAATATTGTGACATTTTCAGGGAATTTTATCAGGAGCTATATCACGTCCTTTTATCCCATTAACTATTGTTGTTAACCTTGATTACCTGTTAACTGATTACAAAGTTACTATTTTTCCTTTTGTAACTAAAAACTTATTTATGAGGAAGTAACTTTAAGACTATCTAAATATCTTACTTCACCTCAAACTTTTACCCACTGCTTTTAGCATCCTTCCTCTTTTTTCATTGTTTTTAAGAATTAATCTAACAGTACTTTTTCTTACATCTCATTTTATTCAACCTCTCAAATGTAACATTTTCTCAGAATTACTTTTGAAAAGCTAGATAACTTTTGGAAATTTTATTGTCAGTCATAAATCATCAAAAATGTGTATAATATGTGTCAATGATGCTTCATTTTAACCAGAGTTATTTGGCATCAAAGGCTTTTCTTTTAAACTTAAATTATATAAATCAGTACATCTGGAGTTGGATGCTGTTTAAGATACAGAACTTTTTTTTAAGATACAGAACTTTTGCAATGGAAATTTAGTTGTAATTAAAATTACAGTTCCTAAAAGTACTGAATTTTCACTTGTTTTCACTTAATATTGTTAGTAGACTATAGGGCACAGTGTGCTTTCTGTAACTTAATTGTTGTACCAGATGTAATAATATGATACTTACTAGTAACTGGCATGGGTCAGGAATGAGATTGAGGTTCGTAAATTACTTACATATGCTTGGAGGAAAATATTTCATAAGTCACGAATTAAAATGTTTTTTTGTTTTTATATTGCAGATTGGTTTTTCAGCAGCAGATGCAGTAACAGGACTGAAATTGGTAGAAGAGGGAGTACCCAAAGAACATTTAGCCTTATTGGCAGTTCCAATGGTTCCTTTGCAAATAATATTGCCTCTGATTATCAGCAAATATACTGCAGGTCCCCAGCCACTAAACATATTTTACAAAGCCATGCCCTACAGGTAAAAATGAGATAAAAATACTAAAAATACTTACTAAATAAGAAAGGTTAAATGAGGAACTGTCATCAGTATCACTAATATCTGTGTGTAGAGTATATATGGAAAAAGGCTTGGAAAGCATCTTTAACTTCAGTATGATTTATATGCACTTTTTTCTCTTTTTAACCTCCTAACAGGTTTTGGATACAGGCTGCTTTCATATGATAGGCACAGAGATTTCTGTTCTTGTTGTTTTTTAACCTAAAATGGAAGTCAGGTCCATCTCTCTTTCTTTTTCTTTAGATTATTGCTTGGATTAGAATATGCTCTACTGGTTTGGTGGACCCCTAAAGTAGAACACCAAGGGGGATTCCCTATATATTACTATATTATCGTGCTGCTGAGTTATGCGTTACATCAGGTAAGCTTGCTGTGGGGTTTTTTTTTTCTTTTTTAAAATTAAAAAAAAAATTTTGGGGGGGGTCAAACCATTTTATTGAAGAGATTTGGAGGAGGGTTGAAGGGCTGGCAGGACAATTAAATCTGACGTCCTCGTCCGGCTGGGATCTCTCTAACTTCACACTCACTGAAAAAAGCCTTAGTAAAATAAAGAAGACATTTTTCTACAGTTACTTTTAAATAATGATAATAAATTTAAAGTCTTAAGCATGAATCTGACACTGAAGAAATTATCTGATGGTGAGCTTTAAACCTTGTGGATTTTGTTTTAATGAATTCTGTTCTTGGAGAGAGAGTGTCTTCATTCATTTCATTTTTTTGTTCATTCAGTAAAAGTTTATTACATTTAAGAATTTATTCCAAAGTTAGGAATTCTGCCCTTGCTAAGCATCCTTCAGTTCATCCTTAGATTTGAGTCCTTTCTTTTATTCCTGATTTTTTTTTTCCGGAAAATATTGAGAAATAATGATGGCTTCCAGGTCCCAGGTTTTTGGTTTTGATTCTGTATTAAAAACTTTGACTTACTCTTTGTGGTTTTGGAAGCTGTATGTTAATCTGCTTTTTTTTGTTTATTAAATATGTTTTTAATACCTATAAGATATGATCTTCACTTTGCCATAGCTTCACCCAAGCTGTTGCTGCAGAATGGGTTTTTTTTTTTTTTTCTGGGAACAAGTGATTCAAGTAAATGGCAGACACCCAGCAGTAATTTGGAGGACTTAGGTGCAATTATTGCTAATGTGTGTTTCAGAGTAACTTTGGATTTTTCTATAGAACCTAGTTTAAACTCTTTGAAAATTATATTTATAAACTCCTTCCTTTGTTTTTAACTGAAACCTAAAAAATATGGTACCAGGTAATCTCAATATTTTGCATACAATTATATTATTTAGGAGAATTCTGTAGTGGATCATTTTTGGCTAACTATATATAAAATCTTGAGGCTGGGGTGTCAAATATAATTTTTTTCTGTTTTGCACATACTTAGTTAATGCTAGGTGCAAAAATTGAGTTAAAATAAGTGCTTTCCCTTAGTAATGCTTCACAATCTATATAAGTAAAGGAAAACTATGATGTAGTTATCCAAAAATCATTTGTTTGGCTTTGGAGTTCATGAGAGAATTCTCAAAGTATAGTCATTAAAACTCAGACAACCAGATGCTTTGTGGGAAAAAAGGTACAAGGTCAAACAAATTTGAGACATGATACACACCATAACCCCTCTTTATGTAGCATCTTAATCATTCCTTCAGCAAATATTAAGTGGACAGTTACTCCTTGTCGCAACCATCCTAAGTACTAAAAACAGTGAATAAATCACGCCAAAATCTCTGCCCTTAAGGAGTGTATATTCCAAAGGCTTTCAGAAGTCCTACAGTCCTATTTAATTTTGTGTAACTTAGCGTTTCTCAGTCATTTTTGACCTTGGAACTTCTTTTTCTACGAACATCCCATGGAACAGTATTCAGAGAAATTCTGTTTTGGAAACATGGTTTATTTTCATGTTCCTAAATAAAAAGTTAATTTTTGCCTCTTAAGCACTTTTTGCCTCTCAAGATTTTTCTCCTTAGTCTGTCACATAAATTTTGAATTTTATATATATACATATATATATATATATATGTATATATATAATTATATAGTCATATTCCTTTGAATATTTGAGTTCTTATATATATAATACAAATATACATATAAACATATACATGCATGTGATATATTTAGGTATAGTACAGATACAGAGTTTTGCTTATTGCTGTATCCATCCTTCAATGACACTTCATCTGTCATTTTCTCAATTGAGTCTTCCTTGACTACTTGTGATAGAGTTAATCTGCCAATTATTTAGGCCCCAGTAGCATGAT